CCAAGGTTTTCCAATTCAAGCAAATCTAAACTTATTCTAAAATTTGATGCTATTTCCGACAATTTTTACTTTCATTCAAAAAAAAAAAAAAGAAAAAATAAAATAAATAAATAAAAATAAAAATATGGCGCTTGACTTTGTTGCAGTTGTTTTATATCACCCTGTATTCATGATCAGCTTAAAATTCCATGTCGATTTAGTCAGTTCGTCTGTGGAAATCAAAATTATGTCGTCACCAATTGCTTATTTCTATATAGAAGTTGATATTAAACGGGACCGATTATACATCATGTTAGAGTCATATGTAAAGTGACTTTTTCCACATTTATACTTAGTATTTTAATGGTATACTTTTAGGCGTTACTCAGAATTTTTTAAACTTTTATTAATGTTTATAGTATAAATCTAGTATTGAATAGAATATATTTTTTTTTTTTAGTCTAACATCTGAAAAATTGCCCTTAAAGCCTAAAAGTATGCTAAAAAATGTAAATCTTTGTGACAACTCGAAGTAAATATTTTAAAACCCCACAAAGTATATATATTTTGATCAGCATAAAATTCTATGTCGATTTAGTAATGTTCGCCGGTCTTTCTGGCACTCCGTCTGTGGAAACCACTATAGCTTCCGAACGAAATCAAATTTTACTCAGCTGTGTTTTAGGACTGCAGGTTTTTTCGAATTGAAAATTGTATATATAGGTCCAGGTCTTGGTGTAGGCCCCATACCGTCAGATTTAATTTTTTTGCTGGTTTTAGTCACTATTGCATACTGATTTTTCTGAAAAGTGGGAGTTATGTTATTGTTATGTTACAGATTCCACCAGAATCGCTCAAAATTTCGCTTTTTCCTAATTTCGTATTTTCCTAATTGGTACTACCATCTGTGAGAAAATTACATTTGCAGGTCCAGGTCTTCGTATAGCCCCCATATAAAGGTACCTCCTTCTATTCGGTATTTTGATTGTTTTAGCGACAATATTCACCGAAATTGTTTAAAATTTCGTATTTGAAGTTCCCTAATGGGTGCTACAGTCTATGGCAGAAAACTGCCTATGTAGGTCCACGTCTTCGCATAGGCCCCAATATAACTGTAACTCCCTATGTTTGTTAATTCTATGATTTTTGGATTATTTTTTTTTAATTTGTAGATATCTTCCATATGGTTGAGGGTATTCAAAGTTCTTTGGGTAGGCTATATATTTATTCCCTGAATAATGTCCCCAGATAATGTCTTCCATTCGCAATGACCTGCCAAAATCATGACTCAGCTCTTCGTTTATCGAATTGCAATGTGAACCTGTTTTATTTATGTTTTTTTTTTTTAGTTTTTGCTGATTAAAGCGTTGGCGATTGTCTTATATTTCATTTTGAGGACAATCTATGATTTGCTTAAATTCCTCGATTCGGCGCCCCCTTCCCCCGCAAAGCACAACCTGATATGGACAACTCCAACGCATATGAATGCGTTTCCCAACACAATTTGTCTGTCCATCTGACTTATATGAACGACATTTATTGGTTTGTAGAGCATTATTGTCAAATGTAGTCTTAAGACGAAACATATTGCCCCGCTTGGCTATCATTTATTTTGGGGGGGGGGGGGGGGGAGCCGGCAAAAATTGGCTAAGTTTAATCATATCCTTTGTATTGTTAAAGCTCAGGCGGGCATAATGATGACAAAGTTTTGGTTGGTTGGCTGCCTGGCTGGTGTGAATTCACTGCCCGGCATCATCATGCTTGTTGAATCTTCGTGGTGGCAATGAGTCTTGGGACAGCCAACCAGCTAGTAAGCATATTGTCTACATATGTGGCGGGTTGTATGCTTGGATGGCAGGCTGCTTACCATTGTCTGAGCATTAAATTATTTTTTTAAGATTAGATCAACTTGTTGCTTGCAGAGCGCTAAAGTCAAAACGACAACCAGACAGCCAGCCAGCCAGCCACCACCACCGCCAAGTAAAATACAGATTTATGCTTTTAATCCAAGTTGCTTTACAGAAAAAATTCCAATGCAACAACATAGGATGTTGTATTCACACATGTTGTTACCATAGTCCAACGTGACAGTGTCGCCTTCAATGTTGTCTGATGATATTCCTCATTACACATATGGAGGAACCTTATGTATGTAAAGCGAGCGAGCGAGCGACGATGTCATGACAAAGTGTTGTTAAAGTGTTATAATTATTTACAAAAAATAAATATTGCAAACAAAAAAAAAAAAAAAATAAAAAAAGACATGCATTGTTTGTTGACTTCTTTTGTTCTTTGTTTACCAAAATCATTCGATCCATGTAAATAAAAAAAAAAATATGGGTTACAACAAATAAATATTTATTGAATTTTATTATCAAGATTTTGAATTCTATGGTTATTTATTTATTTTTTTTTTTTTTCGTGGGAAATATTTAAATTAAAAATATGATTTTTATTTAATTTAGTGAATTGATATTTTTGGGGGAATAAGATATTCATATATTCGAATAACCTCAATTCTTCAGACATATACGAATTAGGTCCAGTAAATATAAATTCTGTACAGCTTGATTAAGCTATTACCATTACTTAATCCCAATATTTGCACCGAAGTTAGATGAAGGCGATGCATGGATATGCATGATCATATGACAATTCCCCGTGGCCGTTTGAGGTATATTTTTTTTTTGAATCTTGATACGTGTGTCAAGCATTGGCCTGATTTAAGAATCTTTTATTAAAGACTTCCACACCAAGAATCAATAAAATTTTTAAGATTTTTGAAAAATAATTGTGTTTTTTTTTTTTTTCAAAAACATTTTTAAAATATTTTAGAGTTCTAAAAATCCAGATTTTTTTTTTTAATTTTGCAATGACTTCCCGAAATGACAAAAATGGTGATTTAAAAAAAGATTACTGAAATTTGTTCTAATTTTTGTAGAAGTTTCCTCTAAATAATTCCATGTCAGATTTCTTGGTAAAAAATAGGGAATTTAAAATTCCGTACGACAGATGAAAAACTGCAACCAACTTCAGACTGCTGTAATTTCGAAGCCACTCGTTCGACAGCTGTTAAAATTATTCCAGTGACAGCTCATTATATTGTTTACAAGCGTATAAAAGCATTTTGGTGAGAATTTTCCAGAAAAAATGTTATTCGTGATGGAATTCAAGCGTGATAGTTTGATTTCTTTATATTTGGCTGGAAAACCACAAGTGGCTAGCACTCCAGCATTTAAATGTGAATAAATCGTTTGTGTCTCGTACCATCGCTCATTACCGTGAGCGTACTGGTAGCGTAGCCCGACTTCGAGGAAGTGGACGGAATAAAACAGCAACATCAGCAGAAATGGTTCGAAAAATAAAGAAGCGACTTCATCGAAACACGCATCGCAGTGGCCGAAAAATGACTCGTGAGCTGAATATATCACAATATTCCATTCGGCAAATATTGAAAAATGAGCTCGGGGTAAAGCCATCGAAATTCCAAAAAATACAAGAACTTACACCGCAACAGAAAGTAAATAGACACAAAAGAGTTGCTTCGCTTGGCCGAAATTGGTGAACTGCCGAATTTGGTTCCCTCCGATGAGAAAACATTCGTTGTTCAGAAGTTTGCAAACCGACAAAGTGATCGTGTTTACTTGCCAAAGACGTCAGCTGAAAATGTTCACCTTCGGTTGGCCACCAGAACTCAAGCGCCGGCCATGGTGATGGTTTGGCCCGCCATAACAGCCGTTGGTCGCTCTCCGCTCGTATTAATCGACCGTGGCATCAGAATAAATGCAGAATATTATGGCCGTAGACTTCGCACCATCGCACTCAGCACGCGTCACCCAAAGAATGGTTATGAGTTTCCTCGCTTCATTTCCAGTGCACAATGGCCACCAAAATCTCCGGATATCAATCCGTTGGACTATTGTGTCTGGAGTATTTTGGAAAGCAAGGTTGTCACTAAAAAATACCAAAGTGTCGATCACCCAAAGCAAGCGCTTCGCCGGAAATGGGCTAAAATACCGCAGGCCATAATTCCTGCCTAAGGTGACCAATTCGAAAAAATCTAAACTAATTCTGAACCACCGCGGCAATGACATGGGCAAAAAATCATAGAATTTGAAATGATTATTTTGAGGGGTTACAAACCGAATAAGGTTTTAACAAGATGTCGCCACATGTCACCCCGTCAAAGAAACAATTTTAATTAATAAATTTGTCATTTCCAGGACTTGTTATTTCGCGTTTTGGAGACCAGTATTGGCCGCCTAAACCGTGCGATTTTACACCTTTAGATTTTTTCCTTTGGGGTTTTTAAAGTCAATGGTTTACGCAAATAAGCCGATGACGACTCAAGCCTTAAAGGAGGAAATTCGACGCTGCATTATTGAAATACCTCAGCATTTATGTAAAACCGCCATTACAAATTCGCCTGTGTGCCAGCAAAGGTGCGACGGTCATCTGCAAAATATTTTATTCCACACATAACCTTATTATGCCTGTTTTTTTTTTGATATAATAAAGTTTCATGATTTTTAATTTAAAAAAATCGATGTTTTATTTAAAATTTAGAAATTGCTTTCAATGTTAAAGAACCTTTATTAATTTTGTCATTACTTTTTGAAACTCTTCAAAATAATTATTTTTTACATGGTCAAGGATATAAAAATCCCTATATATTCCCTGTTCTCCATAGAAGACATACTTCCTTATTAGTTTTCCATTTCTTTTTAAATTTCAGGAAAAAATCCAAAAAAATGCCATCCAAAAAAATTCATCCAGATCAAGATGTCAAGACAATGACTCTATCACCTCCACCACACGGGCTAAACTTATTAAGTTTTTGTGGTACTCAGACAATGGGTTATTTGGTCATGCATAGGTACATATATTCATAATGCCTTCCACTGGAGGGGGGCTGGGGAAAATAGCAAAGGCATTCAAGCTAAATGGTTTCGGTGTACAATGCAAAGGTATAAAGTACCATGAAAACTCCCAAACAACAAAAAATAACAATATTTACTTACATGTTTTTCTGGTCGCAAAACTATGCCATTTGTTGTTGTTGCTGTTGTGGCAGTCCCTGCCGCTGATGACGATGATGGTGATGCCGAGCTGGGTTGATGCTGTTCAAATCCACCATTGGCCATAACAACATAACGATCATGGGCACCCTTGCCATAACGACTTTGGATGACAGCCGTGGCAGCGGCGGACAATAGCATCGGTGATGTTGGCCCCGGTGATATGGAGGCTCTCGACGATGATGCTGTGCCAGCAGTTGGGCTAGTTGTGGCTGCTGCTGCTGCTGTTGCTGATGAAGATGTCGTTGTTGTTTTATCAGATGCCATTAAGTTGTCCAAATCTCGCAAGAATTTGTTTGCCCACATATTTACATCATCGGTGGCAACTTCTGCTGGCGATTTGCTTTGCAATTGTTTGCGCAGGCGCTTAAGTGTTGACGAAGATGGACCGGCGGCTGCCAACGGTGATGGAGATGTGTTGTTGCTGGACGATGATGATGAGGACGATGCTGTGTGATGGCATGCTAATGATGATGCCGATGCCGATGCTGTGGCGGCTGCATCTTGTTCTTGTTTACCTTGCTGTTCTGGCCCTGTCATAGACGCGCATGCGGCCGGGATTAAGGCACCTTTTGGCGGTGGTTTGCCTTTTAAATCGGTTCTACCCAGAGGCAATTCATTTTTGCTAGCATTTTCCATCACTCGTCTGTCATTCGAGTGGCTGTCATTATTTTCCATTGCTGGACCGTTGCTGCTTGTAGTTGTCACTTTGGCTCTGGAAGGTAATTTGTTGCTGCCACTGCCATTGCCGGGCGTTGTCGTTGTTAGATTCGCCGACATTGCATTGCCACGCCGCCAACCACCGCCAGTGGCACTATCAAAGCCGCTATCAGATTCTGTCGAGCGAGACAATTCATCATTTGAGACAGCCGCTTTTAATGTGTCTATTATTTGATTTTCCATGTTGCTCACGGACGATGAGGCCTTTGTATTTGTATCACTTTCAAAAGAGTTATGGTCCTCTTCAGATTGCTGTTGTTCTTGCTGCAGCTTTTGACGGGCCTTATGCAATTCAAAAACTTCATTGATTTCATGCTGTAAAGAAAATGAGAGAAAGAGAAGGGAATATGAGTTTCAAATCCTTTTTGATTCAATTTATATTTTAAAAAATTCCAGCCAAATGGATTTGGCTTAAAATTAATTTAATTTTTTTTTTATCTCATCTAGACTGGCTGCCGGCTGCCAGCTAGCCAGCTATGGAATCGCCAATAAATTAGCTCTCACATGACATTGGACAAATGATGTTTGGTTTTTGCTATTACACCACATAGATTGGTGTTGCTGTTGTTTCTAGACCTATCCCTGTTTGGAAAAAAAGAAACAAAAAAAAAAAAAATCACGTCATCATTCAAGTTTCTCGAGCGGCGGCTGTTTTAATTTAGTCACCAACCAACCGCCAGCCAGCCAACCAACCATTCCATCCGTCCATCCCATCCATCCATACAATGTTGCTCTTAAGCCCCACAAAGTTGGGAAAAAGATTGAACATCATGTTGGTAGTGAAAGACTTTAACGCATTACCCCCGTAGCGTGGTATCGAGCCAGCCAAGATCCTGGTACATCCATCAAAAGATAATGCCGACGCTTAAGTCGCACCATGATCTTCTCACATGTATGGATTTCGTTTTTTTTTTTTCTCTTTTCCCTCTCTTTCTTTTCTCTTCACTTAAGACTATTAAGCGCCTTGGATTATTTCAAATATTTTTTTTTCCAATTGAGGATTTTTTGCCACAAAGATCAAAGGAACCCTAGTGTAGACCTGTAGGAGGAAGTGTTAAGGCTTGGGCTTCTTATTACATAATTATAATGGACTTTGATAAATGAATTGTTGCAGAGCATTAAAGGTGATGTAATATTGGCTAAAGGTGGCGCAGAGAGGATATTGGTAAGATGGGGATTTATGAAATCGAGGTAGAGATGGAGAAGCGGGCAAGGAGAGGGAATTGGAAATTGAACCGTGATTTTCATAGAAAGATTATGAAAAAAATATTTTCCACTATGATCCAGAGGGGAGAGAAGCTGATCACATATTTTTATTTTTTAAAACTATAATCTCTCACCACCTATGCACCTATTTTTGAAATTGCTAATGCAAATTTTATTTAAATTCAGATGTAAAAATTAGCAATAAAACGTCTTGTTATTCAGTCCATTTTAAACCCCTAAAACTATGCACTTCTTTTTGACCAAACTTCACTTCCTTTATATCCAGCATCTATGATAAAATACAATGTGATGCTGTCCACGGACCGGATGATTGATAAGGCTATATAGTGTGGGGGTGCCCAATTGGGAATTTTGAAATAGCGAACGAAAAGTATTCATACGTTTTGAAAAAAAAAAAATAAAATAACTAAAGCAATGCTTCATAAATGCTTATAAAAAAATCTAAAGCATGTACACTCAAAGAAACATATAATCCACATTAAGTTCGTTCAGGCCGTACCCTCAACACCCTTCACCATTAGCTAAAAAATATTCGTAACATATGTAACTAAAATGCTCTAAATATCGAATATCGGTAGGTACCGTATAATGTGTGATATAGGAAAACTTGACCCCATATATAAAATGTTCTTCCCAAAATCTGATCCTGAAAATGGGGAAGTACTGTTATATGGTTATAGCAGATTTGTGATATATGATATTTTTGTACGAAAGGAGTATTTCAAATGACAAGTTATTTCAATTTTGCTAAGAACAGAGCCAAACATGTAAAAGTACTTGAAAAAGATTATCAAAACCTTTAAAATATGGATTTTATAAAAATCATTTTTATAAGAGTCAATGAAATGTGGATTTCTAAAAAATATTTTAAAAAGAGACAATCAAACGTGGATTAAAAAAAATAATTTTAAAAGAGACAATCAAACGTGGATTTAAAAAAAAAAAAAATATTTTAAAAAGAGACATTCAAACGTGAATTAAAAAAAAATATTTTAAAAAGAGACAATCAAAAGTGGATTTTAAAAAAAAAATATTTTAAAAAGAGACATTCAAACGTGAATTAAAAAAAAAATAATTTTAAAAGAGACAATCAAACGTGGATTTAAAAAAAAATATTTTAAAAGGCGACATTCAAACGTGAATTAAAAAAAAATAATAATTTGAAAAGAGACAATCAAACGTGGATTTAAAAAAAAGTAATTTAAAAAGAGACAATCAAATGTGGATTTTAAAAAAAATATTTTAAAAAGAGACAATCAAACTTGAATTAAAAAAATAATAATAATTTGAAAAGAGACAATCAAACGTGGATTAAAAAAAATATATTATTTTTTTAAGAGACAATCAAACGTGGATTTTTGAAAAAAAAATTTTTTAAAGAGACAATCAAACGTGGATTTTTTAAAAAAAATATTTTTTTAAAGAGATAATCAAACGGGGATTTTTAAAAGAACATTTTTTTAAAGAGACAATCAAGCATGGATTTTTAAAAGTACATTTTTTATAGAGATAATCAAACGGGGATTTAAAAAAAAAAACATTTTTTTAAAGAGATAATCAACCGTGAATTTTTAAAAGAACATTTTTTTAAGAGATAATCAAACGGGGATTTTGAAAAGAAAATTTTTTTAAAGAGATAATCAAACGGGGATTTTTAAAAGAACATTTTTTAAGAAACTGTCAAATGTGGATGTAAGAAATATTTTTTTTTTTTTTTCAAAGAGACAATCAAATGTGAATATAAAAAAAAACTTTTTTTAAAGAAACACAAACGTGGAGTTTAAAAGATATTTTTTAAAGAGACAATCAAATGTGGATTTTTAAAAAAATATTTTAAAAAAGAACATTTTTTAAAGAGATAATCAAACGGGATTTTTAAAAGAACATTTTTTAATGAGATAATCACACGGGGATTTTTAAAAGAACATTTTTTAAAGGGACAATCAAACGTGGATCTTTAAAAGAACATTTTTTAAAAGAAACTTTCAAATGTGAATTTAAAAAAAATGTTTTTTTTAAAGATATTTTTTAAAGAGACAATCAAATGTGGATTTAAAAAAATATATTTTTTAAAGAGACAACCATTATTTTTTGTTTATTTATTTATTTATTTATTTTTATTTATTTATTTATTTGTAAGAGGCAATGAAACGTGGATTTTTAATTTTTTAAGAGACAATTAAGTGCGGATTTTCAAAAAAAAAAAAAAAAAAAAAAAAAAACCTGGATTTAAAAAAAAATATTTGTTTAAAGGGACAATCAAACGTGGATTTTTATTTTTTTTAAGAGATAACCAAATATGAACTTAAAAAAAACATATTTGTTTAAAGAGACAATCAAACGTGGATTTTTAAAAAATATTTTTTCAAATATACAATATTACGTAGATTTTGTAATAATAATTTTCGAATTTCTGATTTTATGACTTTTGAACATTATCGAGAAAATGCTGAGCCTTAAAGAAAGCAACACATGGTTTATACCTACCACAGCAAGGCAGCAAGTAGTTTTTAATAATATGGATTTTTAGCTATACATACATAGATTTCTTCCCAAAGCCTTATTATTTAATTTTTTTTTTTCTCAGTGTAGAACTCTGAGAAGTTATAATTCCAAATCGCGTCAATGGAGTAATGTGGTCAACTGTGATTATTTTTTATGTTTCTCTTGCAATGGTAAAAAACAATAACACATTTAATTTCATGCATCGCCAACAAATGTCAACATATGGCACAAACAAATAACTAGAAGCAACATGTGGTGGCAGGGAATGCCGCCGCACATGATGACCACACCAACAATGAGAGGAAACAATTATGGCAACCACATATTACGACCAATGCAACCAACAATGACGAAGTCCATGAAAGTGATCCCCCAGAGAATCGTGGATCCTGGCAAACTCTATTTTCTTAAAGGAAATCATTGGAAAATGTGAGTCTTCTCCTGGGTGGCCAGGAAAAGGGAGTGCAAAAAAAATATGAAAAATTGCTATAAAAGCAACATAAATTTTCCAAATAACTTTCAGTTTCGAAACGATAAGGTAACAAGGAACGTGAAACTCTGCGAAAATAAAGAAAAAAACTGGCCAAAGTTGGTCTCTCTTTGACTGAATGACCGTGTCGACGAGGGCGACGAGTGAGACGCTAAAACAAAAAACCAAGAATATTGCAGAAAAGATCTTGTAGAACAGATCTCCTTTTTGCAGAACAAAGGAAATAATTCCTTCTTTTTTTTGCTTTTTGTCGACTTCCACTGGAGCAGCCAGCCGCCAGCATGAAAATCACGCTTGCTGTGTTATTTTTGGCGGCACTAACAATTTATTGCAAATGTACGACGGTATTATCTTTACCACCATCGCTTATCGCCCAGGCGGCTGCGGTGGCGGCATCCTTGGAGGAAACACCAACTCCAAAGGCGATGGAAGATCAACAGAATAATGCGGCGGCAGCAGAAGCAGCCACAGCAGCTCTTAACCGGCACAATGAAGGTCGTGGCGAAGGTGAAACTGAAAATGCGGGCCCCCCAACCATTGCAATGTTGAACAATTTCCAGAACCTATGGCCGTCGAAGAATTTTCCTTTCGAAAAACGTGAGCAGAAAACCTTTGAAGATGATATCGCCGCTTTGGCTCCGACACAGGCACAGCAACAGCGTTTGCTATTGCAGCAGTCCATGGCAGCAATTAAGAATAACAAAAATGCCCAAGGGCAGAGACAACAACACCAACAACAACAATATGTTAAAGGTAGTAATAAACTGAATGAAATGGTATCAAGCGCCAGCAATTTCAAACACCTTAATGTGGGAGAAGGGGATCATGATCATTATCAGGATGATGATGATGATGGAGACGATGAGGTGGAAACCATCCAAGAGCAAGATGAGGAAAATAAACGTGGCCTCTTTCCAACCATGCCCGTTGTGGATGATGAGGACTATGAAACGACTGCTGATCCGGAATTTGATTCCAATGAATGGTTGGATCCCCACACTGCCATGGAAAAATCAAAATCACCATTTCCACGGACTTTCATGCCAGACCAGAAACCGTCTGCTGTTCCTCACAAATTTCTGACATCTTTCGCATATCCAACCGCAGCAGCAGCAGCAGGCAAACTGCCATGTCAGACAGAAATGGAAAACAATTGCCTGCCAGAGGATTATTATCACAATGCCCTCAATGCGAACAGGTGAGTAGGAGAGGAAAAAAAAATAAAACGAAAATAAAATCTTCAAAATAAAAAAAGGGTAAACAGAGAGAGAAGAAAGTGTCTGCCGTCGATTGCCACAAAATATTGGTTAATTGGAGTGTAACCATAAAATGTGGCATGGATTTGTAAAATTATGCTTTTTTTTTGTTGTTGGCTGATCAGCCGTAGGCTTTAAGGATTGTTTTTTGAATTATTATTTGGGCACACATTTCTTTGCACCAACCAAACTCTCTTATATCGAAGGTTGTGGAAGAATGCGAAAAGGAATATGTAAAAGAGGTGTTAAGTTTGGTCGGGCCGCACTTTTGATACCTTTTTCCATGGGGGAGCAATTTTTTCCTTTCCAAAAAAAATAAGAGCCAATGAATGAATCGCGGATTTTTTTTTTCTAAAAGACAAAGAGGCGTGAAGTTAAAAAAAAAATATTTTTTAAGAGGCATTTAAATGTGGATTTTTTAAAAATTATTTTTGTAAGTGCCAAGGAAATATTTGTTTAGGCTGATAATCAAACGTAGATTTTTAAAAAATTAAAAAAAAAAAACAATCAAAAGTGGATTTTTAAAAAAATATTTAAAAAAATCAAACGTGGTGTATTCAATCGTGAATTTTGTAAAAATTATTTTTATAAGAGCCAATGAAGGGTGGATTAAAAAAATTGGAGCCTTTAAATCGTGGATTTTTTTAAATTCATTTTTGGAGTCTTTTAAACTTGGATTTTTGAAATTCCTTTTTAGAGCCTTTCAAACTTGGATTTTTTTTGAAATTCATTATTAAAGCCTTTCAAACGTGGATTTTTTAAAATTCATTTTTGGAGCCTTTCAAACTTTGATTTTTTTGAAATTAATGTTTGGTGCCTTTTAAATGTGGATTTTTTTTAATTCATTTCTGGAACCTTTTAAACGTCAATTTTTTTAAATTTATTTTTTGAACCTTTCGAACGTGTATTTTTTTTTTAATCATTGTTGTATTCTTTCTAACATGGTTTTTTTAAATTCATTTTTGGAGTTTTCCAGTTCATTCCAATTCCAATTTTGTCTACTTTCGACATTTTCACTAGCGCCACCTACATTTGAGGTTAATACCATTTACCAGTTGAGTTACAAACGGATTAACCAACTTAATACTCTTCCTATTGCATGGTAAAGTCCGTAAAAATCAAAAGTGAAGATGAATAAACCATACCACGAAACCCCCTAGCCCACCACCGTTGCTGGAATTTTAGTCTGCTGGCCACCGCCACTTGGCCTTCACTACAGCACCAACGGCCCCATTTCTTGATGCATTTGTTTGACCACGTTGTTGTTTGTTTTCGATTTTATGTTTTGGTGTTTGTTTCGTCTTTCTTTCTTTGCTAAGTGACCAATTTTCATGTTTTGCATTGTTGTTGTTGTTGCTGAAATACGTCAAGGTTGCAGTGAAAGTGTTTGCGGTCGCCGCCTGTGATGATGATGATGCAGATGACGTTGATGCTGCATCGTAATTTTCAGCAAGTTTTGGCAGCATTACAAAATATTACCATAGCATCGTAGAGCCAGCCAACCCAATCCACTCGGTCTACTTCGTCTGTTTGGTCATAATTTTTGAATAACCACTTTAGGCCGGTGCGGCTGCCACAGCTAATCTGACAATGAGGCTGGCTGTCTGCCGTTGTTGGCTTGTCTTGTCTTGTCTGGTGGCAAAGAAGCATTTAACCGTTTTAACTTTATTTCGCTTTGTTGGCGTTGTTGTTGCAATGGCTGATACATCAATTGGCTTTGTGTTAAATATTTGACCGTTGCTTGTCACTTCCAGCTGTTGTTTTTTTTTTTTTTTTTTTGTTGTGAAGATTTTAACACACATAAATCGTCTGTTTCTTTTTCTATTAAAGGTGGCTTGGCTTGGTTTTTTCTTTGAAAATGTGTGAAGAATTGCTTGACTAGAGCTTTGGGTGGTTTTGGAGAGTTCGAAAAGATTTATTGAGTGGTCAAGAGGATTTATAGAGTTCCAGGACTGTGACAAATTTTTATTTTTTTTTTTAACGTAGATTTTCGAAATATATATTTATTTTTTTTTTTTTAAGTTTCCAAAATAATCTTAAAACAAACAAATATTTTCAGAGTACAAGGAGTTAAAAAATAAAATATCCAAAGTTCATCAGGTTTATGAATTTGAGGTTTTGAAGATGTTGATGGAGAACAGTGAAAACTATCCTTGATTTTTGACAAAATATTTGCAGAGGGCAATCAGACAATTTCATACAAACATTTTTTTAATTGAGTTTTAAAAGAAATATTTTCGGAAGACTGTTATAAGTTTAATTCTACATTATAACCCCAATTATCAATCCATTGTTAAAGAGCGCAAAGACTTCATTTTGTATGCTTCGGTCTATTTGGATATCATTACTCAAGCGAAGATGGCGACATTTAAAATAGCTTTTTATGTTTTGGAAAATTATTTCTATGCATAGACATATTCAAATATTGGGGATAACTTTAAACCCAAGCATTTCTCTGAAAACCCCGCTCGAGTAAAGAGTGAAACTCGCTTGAACTCGAGCGGGATCACGTTTGGGTGTAGGAAAAACAAAACGAAAGAATTGGGGCGAGCATGTTGTGTTCATTTAAGAATGGCAGCAAAATTCGTTCAAAAATGAGCAGATTCTACTCTGGCTGGTCACTTTTTTTATTTTTTTGATACCGTTGTTATATTTTTTATATGTGTGCTTTTTTCTGTACACGGTCACAACCCGCTTTCCTCTTTTTTCCTTTCCGACTCCCGCTCTAATTTTTCAAACTGAAGTGACTTGGGAGCGCTGACATATAATATAAAAGAGTGTAGAGTATGCTCCGTCAAATAATACCACTCTTCGATTGTAATTAGCGCCACCTACATGTGATTTTAATACCCAAATACACTAATTGTAACTTTGTGTAGTGTACGTGTCCGCGAACAAAATTTGGCTCCCGAGTAAAAAAAAGTAAATCTGTTCTATGGTTTGGAGCGAATACTGTATAACGGTATTAAACTCGCATACAGATGGCGCTGGATGAAATATATTTTTTCTCTGGAAAAATTACCGTTGTAGTCGGTAAAAGGCAAAGACATATTTAATTATCTTGGAAAGAATATATGAGAAAAACTGAATATGCTTTGATTCGATCCATTTGGGTATAAAAATCACATGTAGGTGTCGCTAATTAAAATTGCTTTACTGATTTAAGAACTGACATGTATTGTTAGACATCTTTAAAAATCTTTGAATTATTTTAACACAATGATTAGAGCAATATTTATTTGCTTTCGAACTATGCAAAAATTGCATTTGGAGACTAAACTCTCACACAGATGACACTAGATAAAGTAGATTTTCCCTTTAAAAAGTTATCCATCTTCAGTTGTAGTCGGCAATCGGTAGACATATACCATTATCTGGAATTCTTGTGATTTCATAGAACGAAACTGATATAGCATTTAGTATGATACGGTCTATTTGGTTATGAAAATTACAAATAGATGGTCTGGGGGCTTGATATTTGTAATATAAAGTTTGGGATCAAAAAAAGAAGTTAACTCGTGATCCAATGGAACAAAAAAGCCGTATTTGAGGATTTGAAGACGACTTAAGTAGAGATTTCACTTATCTCCAGATGTTGCCATTTAAAAAGCTATACAACTTCAGATGTAGTCGGGAATCGGTAAACATATTCTTAGAGTTCTTCTTATTTCAAAGGAATAACTAAAGAAGATGTGGAACAGATATCATTTGGTATGATATGGTATACTTGGGTATTAAAATTACATGCAGATGGCGCTATTTAAACCTGATTTAGTGGTTTAATACTTGAAAAACTGAAAGTTGGAGGGAAAAATATATTAATTTGCGATCGAACAGCACAAAGACTGCATTTAAAGACTAAACTCTCTTACATGTGGCATTAGTAGAAATTAAACTCATACCTAGGTGGCGCAATATAAAATGGAGTTTTCCATTAAAATAGATCTTTAAGTGCAGATGTAGTCGGAAATCGTTAGACATATTCCATTATCTTATAATTCTTGTGATATGAAAGAATATAACTGATGATATGACCTAGACGATAGATGATACAGTATATTTTAGTATTAAAATTACAAGCAGATGGCGCTAATTAATTTCTTTTAGTGGTTTAATACTTGTAACAAGAAGGTTGGAACGAATTGTTGTAATCGAATCGAACGAAATGACTGTATTTTAAGATCGCAATAGTAGAGATAATAAGAATCACAATCATGTTATCTTAGAACCTCGGAGACTTCAAACGACTGTAGTTGGTTTGGTTCGGTATATTTTCAGGCCTCCGAAAAACTAGCTCGAATTTGTACAAAGAGTGGAACCTACTCGAATTCGAGCAGAAAACTGCAAATTTCAGATCATTAAGCTCGTCTCGAAATAGAAAACAAACACATAAATCATAAAACATATGATCTTCCCCTTAACAAGGCAAAACTCATACATTGAGCATATTTTCATCGTTTTTTTTTGTGTGGGAGCAAAATTCGTTCAAATCGAGCACCGTTTTAGTTTTTGTCATATCGGTCGTGTATTTATATGTATATGCATTTTTCTGTACAAGCTTAATATGACTTACAGTTCAGTCATGCAGGTGTGAATAACGTTTTCTCAAATGTCTGATTCAAAGATGTCAAGAATAGTAAATTACAAAGTCTTACACGTTGGGCGCCATTTTTTTAATTGAGATAAATTTGAATTTGTTTATGTCTGTTTGGCGCGCCTGTGGGATGTTTTTACATATTTGCCGATTATTTAATCATCGAAAAAGAAAGTGAAACATAATTTTGCTTCTTTATCCAATTCATATCTCCTGATATTCTCACCTTCAACCTGAAATTCTGGAAATCACTCAATTGCCCTAATACCAAAAAAAAAAACTCCACATTCATTATATCCACAAAACTCCTTCAATGCCTTATCTTAATTTTGATCAAAATATGCGAAA